CTTGCAGAGGGGCAGCAGCGTAGGAGATGCTGGTGGTGCTGCTGACAGGGTTTTGAATCAATTGCTTACAGAGATGGATGGTATGTCAGCGAAGAAAACCGTGTTCATCATTGGGGCCACTAATCGACCAGACATTATAGATCCTGCTCTTCTGCGACCGGGCCGTCTGGATCAATTGATTTATATCCCACTCCCAGATGAGGATTCCCGTCATCAGATATTTAAAGCTTGTTTGAGAAAATCTCCTGTTTCAAAAGATGTTGACCTTAGAGCTCTGGCCAAGTATACTCAGGGCTTCAGTGGTGCAGATATCACTGAAATTTGCCAGCGTGCATGCAAGTATGCTATAAGGGAGAACATTGAGAAGGTAAACTTTGGAGGTCTAAATATATTAGAAATAATAAATTTGTGTTAGAATAGTTATCAGTATAGGTCTAAATTTATTAGAAATAATAATTTTGTGTTAGTTTAACAAATTGCAATTAATATTCGACAGTAAAAACAAGCCTTTTCAAGAATTTTATATTATCACTTTTCAAAATGTTTTTATCCGAGTTCAGATTGAAGGCAATTTGCTGAACTGTATTATCTTGGCAGGACATTGAGAGAGAGAGGAGGAAAAGAGATAACCCTGAGGCAATGGAAGAGGATATTGAAGAGGAAGAGGTAGCTGAAATCAAGGCAGCTCATTTTGAGGAGTCAATGAAATATGCACGAAGGAGTGTAAGCGATGCTGATATTCGCAAGTACCAGGCGTTTGCTCAGACATTGCAGCAGTCAAGAGGGTTTGGATCCGAGTTTAGGTTTTCAGATACCAGCACTGGTGGTGCTGGTGCTGGCACTGCATCTGACCCTTTTGCAAGTGCTGGTGGAGCTGATGAAGATGATCTTTACAGTTAGACGTACCTTTGCCTTTGCTTGAATTATGAACAATGTTGCTAGTTTATGTACTTATTTTGTCTGAAAGTCAGGCTTCTTGGGATTTATTGTTGTCATCCTTTGTGAAAGGTTCTTATTCTTGTGGTAAAAGCCTCTTTGAAAGTCGAAAGATTTATTTGGACGTCAAAAAAAAGATTTAAAGCACACTTGAGAGAGCTTAGCTTTATTTGAATTTATAGTAATTTATGACGTGAATTTCATGCCCTGTATCGTCTACCAAAATAATTTTTTGAAACTTTATGGTGATTTTTACTGTCATTAAAACAAATCTTTATGTGAGCAAGTATTTAACAGGTGCGGAGAAATAATGGGATAGTTGATGTTTGCTCATTGAACTGTTCCGCAGGGCAATACATGTGTTTGTGTCTCTCTCTCTTTATATGTATGTATGTGTATGGAAGTATTCTGCTTAACATTATTACTCTTTATTAGTCGAATGCTGATTGTTATCTGTATTATCTTATCTAATCATATTGGCTCTGGAAGTGTTTTTCTGAGCTAGATGGATTTTTTGTTCCTTCACAATTTACTTGTGTTGGTGATGAGCTGTTCTTGATGGTGATCAAAATAAGTTTAGCATTTTTAATATACAATCGAATTTAATTTTAGAAATTTAATATATCTTTTCTTAATGTGATACTTAATAAATTAATCATTTTATTTTTGAACTATATGAAATACACCATTTAAAATCAAGTTTTTGGATAGAATTTAAAAAATAAGTCCTAGTAATATTTGAGGTCTTTTTTTTCTTTTTGTGTTGATACTCATTCCTTTTCCGACTAAAACAAGTGATTTCCATATTTAGAAGTGATATCACAAGTGTCAAAACTCTCAACTACTTGGTTAAAGAAGTACAAACTATCATCTTGTCCCAGCTAATGTTGGTAAAAGTAATATAATACTTAATACTATTAATATAATGAAGACAATTTTAATATTTTTTTTTCATGAATTGAAATTATTACATTCTAAAATTATCTGGTGACAAGAATATTAGTTTTGAATTTTTCTCATTCCTTTGGTCTCATTTATATTATTAAAACCATATGTTTCCTCTACTTTAAACATGTAAAGGTTTAAAGAATAAATTTATGAATAATTATTATTTTTACTGGATTTAGACAAAGTGCTTTCGAGGTGGAAGGATAAAGAAGTGTGGAGATGTAAGGAACACTAGGAGGAGCATCACCTACAAAAAGTTATTTGATTTTTTATGGAGAACCGGCATGACTTAATGATTTTTCATATATTTTTTTAAAAGTAATTTTGATACTATTGTCTATAAAGTAGACTTAGTGAGGTTCTAGAATCAATTAGGATGACAACTCCATTGAAAATACTATCTTAAGAAATGTTTTTTTTCGTATTTCAATACTCCGTACAATGGCCAATATTAAGTGGGTACTTTTGTGTTATTATACTATATTTATAGGGTGTTTTTTAACTCATTTAAATATTCTGAATATAATAAGAATGAGATATAATTGATCTATAAAATGCTAAAGTTGTCAAAACGGGTAACTTGACTCGACCCGGTCTGATTCACCACGAGTTAATTACTTAGTGAGTCAACTTAATCCAAACTCACTTATTAACAAGCTGAAAAAATTCGAACCGGTTCGACCCAGTGGATTAAACGAGTTGGTTCACTAGCTCATATAATTATAAGTTTTTTTTAAAATAAAAAATTTATTTTTCTTAATTCAAATATAAATAAATGTCACAAAATAAAAAAAAAGTATAATACAATCCAAACGTAATCCAAAAACATGTACAAAAGACGAACAAATAAGTTTGTATCACTTGTTCATTTATAATATTAAAGTCTTGAATAGATAAATGTATAATATTTTTTTTTTCTTGAAACATCTTCTTTATTACCATCTATAATATAATAAAAATAAATGTTAACTAATAATATTGAAACACAAAATAATAAATAATTAAATTAAATTAGGTGGGTTGGTGAGCCAACTCGGCTCACCATGGGTTCAACCCGTTGAACCGGGTTCTAAGTGAGTTGGGTTGGAAACTAGTCCGCATAAAAAAATTACATTTTTTTAAAATCCAACCTGGCTAAAACCTGTGATGAACCGGGTTGACTCGCGGGTTACAACCTATTTTGACAACACTATTAAATACTATACTAGTAAAAGATATCATTATTTAGTTATAACCAATCTTTTATATATATATATATATATATATATATATATATTTTAGGCTGTGAAAGTCAGATAAGCTTGATGTTGCAAGCTTCTTGAAAGATGACATCTTTTCTAGCATTCAGGGGAGTATAACTATCATAATTCTACCTCATCCTCGTTTGAAAGCTCAAGAATCGGTGGAGGAGGGTAGATTTTTTCATACCTGCTTCCTCTTATTAGAGTTTTCTTCGATATTGATGTACGAAGCAACTTATATTTGAAGTATGTCCATACTTTTGGGAGGATCAACATACAAGAAAACCAAAAACATGCCTAGGCATCACATAGCAAAGCATGCATAGCTACTGCTGGGTGTAAGTTAAGAATGTGAATAGAAATGGTCTATGTACTGTTAGAGTGGTTTATGGGATCTCTTTAAATGACGTGTTGAAGGGAGGTTAATGAGACCACCACAAGCTTGCAATTGGCAAACCGAGTTGTCAATATGGCACAAAAATGTATTGAAAAAAATCAATGGAATTCGTGCAAAGGAAGTATTACCATTTCAAGGCTACTCTTGTAAGAGTGGTTGGGAAGAGCCAAGAATTTACTCCCAAATCTTATGAAAATAGGTTGGCCTTGGTCAAGTAGGCTTTAATATGGGCATTTAGATTAGTTAAATTCTCATACTCTTTAATATTGATTATAATCCATTTGGGGATTCGGGCGCTCATGATCTTAGGTGTGAAAGGATGAAAATAAACGAGGTTGGCTTGTATGACTTCGTTTAATGGAGGTGTAGGTATGGATTTGAAATACACTTGTTAATCACATGCTCGAAACTCTCTCTAAGTACATGCTTTAGAGGTACTAGATTGGGAGGGATTATTAGAAGGTGTGTTTAAAGTCTAACTCAACCCCACAAAACTAGCTTGTAAGGTGAGGTTTGCACCTCATTTATATATTATAAATTGCTAGTCGTGTGAGACTTCTAACATGGATTGCCAAGTTGGTTCTACTAGCAATCCTTAATGGGTGGTTGATTTGGTTATGAGTTTTTGTACTAGGTCAGTTGTCTCCGGCTATAGTCTTGTTGAACTCTGACTAAACTCTATTGCTCAAATTGTTTAGAGTTGAGGCTTTTGTGTTGTTATGACTTTTGATACTTTGTCAGAGTAATGTCAGACTGAGGTGTGTGAATGAGACTCGGAGTTCAAAGTTGCTTTGTCCCTTTTCTTGTTTATTCTTTGTTGGGGTTGGATGAGATTTGACTACTCACTCAGAATGTTAAGCAACTCATCCTTATGGCTTTGATTATGATTATTGGATAAGTGGTCCCTGTCAAGTATGTCAAGTTTATTCTTGAAAGCATGAAACGATGTTGATTTTGCAAAAGCTCCATATCTTTATTAAATTTGTCTTGCATACCTAAGATCACTTGTTAGACGTTCCCCTCGTTTCTTTAGAGAAAAATCCTCCAATTTGTCAAAAATATCGAGATCCATATCTTGGTATGATGACGTAAATACCCGTGTTTGACTTTGCGTAGAAATTATATACAATGTGTTCAGGGAAACGTTTTACACAAGTCTCACATTGTATACTAAATGTTCTTAACAAATTTAGAGAAAGAATTTCCAAGGTAAAAAGACTAAAACTCTTGATAGCAGAGGTAAATCCTAATAAAGAAGTGCTGAGTTGTAAGGAACATCAAGAGAAGATGATTGTAAATTTTTTTTCAACATTCAAGTAAGATTTACAAGATATTATATATAAGAGTATGATGAAAGAGAATGGAGAGATGATTATATATATATATATATATATATATATATATATATATATATATTGGCGGAGCTTAGTTTACAGGGGTTTTGGCTCCCTAATTGTTTTCCTGCAAACATGAAAATTAATGTATAAATAAAATTAATTTTTGTAGTCTTAGTATATTTTATTATTTGGCACTTTTAAAATTTTAGTACATATATTTTGATATTCTCAAAATATCTATTCAAGTATCACTGTTAGGTATAATTATGTCAATTTTAAAAGATGAGGTTTCTTTTAGAGTCAATGGTAAAATATGTAATTTCTTACACCTTCTACAAGTGTAGTAAGAAAGATCCTGGAATTGCTCGACCCAAGGTTGAACAACACTGTGTCGGCTTGTGTTTGGGCCTAATTTGACTAATTTGGTTGAAATTAAATTTAACATTTTAAAACACATTCAATTATATGACTCATCAGGTGAGTTAAGTGTTATTTGGTTGTGAGGGTGAGTTATTTGAATTGAGTTCAAATTAGGTAATCTTGTTTTCTAAAATAATTGAATGTCTAGTTTCTTTCTATCCATTACAACGAATAAAATAAATAATTAAACCTTTATTTTTTTTTGTAAGTGTGATTTCAATAATTTTTCTTATAACGTACTGAGGTTATACAATTTATTATTAAATTTCAATAGAAATAAGTCGTACCAAAAGTAAAACAAGATAATTTTTTGGCAAACATTGTAACACTTAATAACTTTTTAAGGGGTTGCCTCTCACATACATATGGACAAGGGAAACTCAAGTGAAACGGACAACGGGTCGTCAACCGTTCTAAATCTTTGTTGTCTCTCAAAATTCTATTTGAAGTTTGAATCAAAATCTAGCAACATTTTTCTTTTGAAACCTTCAAAACTTCATCTATAAACATGCAAAGCTTGCCTCCTAGAAAGTGGCAAATTTAAAGACTTCAACACGAGAACACAAAAATAATGGCTGCACGCTTGCATATGCAAATATCAAATCACATAAGCAAGTACCTTCTCAATTATTATAAATATAAACCAAAGACAATTTCATTTTAGTGATTGAAAAAGGACCAGTTTTGTTGGCAATCATCTGAAGCACTAGTGGCACAATAATTGGTAAGCACATGATATCATGTCATGAATGCTGTATAATAATAATGGAGAGCAACATGATACCCGAGACACAAACGTAGATCATAACAATTATGCCATTGAGTGAGGAAACACCAATAATATGCATTCTCTCCATTTTCTACA